GCAGGTCTCGTCGTCACAGTGACCTGATAAAGGCCAGACATATCATAATGGTACAGGTCTCATCATGACAGTGACCTCATGAAGCCCAGACATGTCATAATGGTGCAGGTCCCATCATGACACTGACCTCATAAAGCCCAGACACCTCATAATGGTGCAGGCGTCATCATGGCACTGACCTCATAGATCCCAGTCATGTTATAATGGTGCAGGCCTCCTCATTGAACTGACCTCATAAAGCCCAGACACGTCATAATGGTGCAGGCCTCATCATCACAGTGACCTCATAAAGCCCAGACATGTCATAATGTTGCAGGTCTCATCATCACAGTGATCTCATAAAGCCCAGTCATGTTATAATAGTGCAGGCGTTACCACGGCAGTGACCTCATAGAGCTCAGACATGCCATAATGGTGCAGGTCTCCTCATCACAGTGACCTCATAAAGCCCAGTCATGTTATAATAGTGCAGGCGTTACCACGGCAGTGACCTCATAGAGCTCAGACATGCCATAATGGTGCAGGTCTCCTCATCACAGTGACCTCATAAAGCCCAGATATGTCATAATGGTGCCGACCTCGTCATGGCACCGACCTCATATAGCCCAGACACGTCATAATGGTGCAGGCGTCATCATCACAGTGACTTCATAAAGCTGAGACACCTCATAATGGTCCAGGCCTCATCATCACAGTGACCTCATAAAGCCGAGACACCTCATAATGGTTCAGGCCTCATCATCACAGTGACCTCATAAAGCTCAGACATGTCATAATGACGGAAGTCTCTTCATCACACTGACCTCATAAAGCCCAGACATGTCATAATGGTGCAGGCCTCATCATGGCACTGGTCTCATAAAGCCCAGACACCTCATAATGGTGCAGGTCTCATCATCACAGTGACCTCATAAAGCCCAGACACCACAAAATGGTGCAGGCCTCATCATAACAGTGACCTCATAAAGCCCAGACATGTCATAATGGTGCAGGCCTCATCATCACAGTGACCTCAAAAAACCAGACACCTCATAATGGTGCAGGCCTCATCATCACACTGACGTGATAAAGCCCAGACACGTCATTATTGTGCGGGTCCCATCATGGCACTGACCTCATAAAGCCGAGACCTGTCATAATGGTGCAGGCCTCATGATCACACTGTCCTCATAAAGCCCAGACACCTCATAATGTTGCAGGACTTATCATCACACTGATTTCATAAAGCCCAGGCATGTCATAATGGTGCAGGCCTCAACATCACACTGACATCATAAAGCCCTGACACCTCATAATGGTGCAGACCTCATTATCACAGTGACATAATAAAGCCCAGACATGTCATAAGGGTGCAGACCTCATCATCACACTGACCTCATAAAGCCCAGACATGTCATAATAGTGCAGGTTTCCTCATGGCACAGACCTCATATAGCCCAGACATGTCATAATGGTGCAGACCTCGTCATGGCACTGACCTCATAAAGCCCAGACATGTCATAATGGTGCAGGCCTCATTACCACACTGACGTCATAAAGCCCAGGCACGTTGTAATGGTGCAGGCCTCATCATCACACTGACCGCATAAAGCCCAGTCATGTCATAATTGTGCAGGCCTCATCATCACAGTGAGTTCATAAAGCCTAGACACCTCATAATGGTGCAGGCCTCATCATCACAGTGTCCTCATAAAGCCCAGTCATGTCATAATGGTGCAGGTCTCATCCTCACAGTGACGTCATAAAGTCCAGACACCACAGAATAGTGCAGGCCTCATCTTCACATTGACATCATAAAGCCCAGATATGTAATAACGGTGCAGGCCTCATCATCACACTGACCTCCAAAAGACCAGACACCTAATAATGGTGCAGGCCTCATCATCACAGTGACCTGATAAAGCCCAGACACGTCATTATGGTGTAGGCTTCATCATGGCAATGACCTCATAAAGCCCAGATATGTCATAATGGTGCAGGCCCCATCATGGCACTGACCTCATAAAGCCCAGACATGTCAAAATGGTGCAGGTCTCCTAATGTCACTGACCTCATAAAGCGCACACAGGTCATAATGGTGCAGGTTTCATCATCAAACTGACCTCATAAAACCCAGACATGTCATAATGGTGCAGGCCCCATCATGGCACTGACCTCATAAAACCCAGACATGTTTTAATGGTGCAGGCGTCACCATGGCACTGACCTGATAGAGCTCAGACATGTCATAATGGTGCAGGTCTCCTCATCACAGTGACCTCATAAAGCCCAGACATGTCATAATGGTGCAGGCCTCATCATCACACTGACCTCATAAAGCCCAGACACTACATAATGGTGCAGGTCCCATCATGGCACTGACCTCATAAAGCCGAGACCTGTCATAATGGTGCAGGCCTCATGATCACACTGTCCTCATAAAGCCCAGACACCTCATAGTGGTGCAGGACTTATCATCACACTGATGTCATAAAGCCCAGACATGTCATAATGGTGCAGGCCTCAACATCACACTGACATCATAAAGCCCTGACACCTCATAATGGTACAGACCTCATTATCACAGTGACATAATAAAGCCCAGACATGTCATAAGGGTGCAGGTCTCAGCATCACACTGACCTCATAAAGCCCAGACATGTCGTAATAGTGCAGGCTTCCTCATGGCACAGACCTCATAAAGCCCAGTCATGTCATAATGGTGCAGACCTCGTCATGGCACTGACCTCATAAAACCCAGACATGTCATAATGGTGCAGGCCTCATTACTACACTGACGTCATAAAGCCCAGGCACGTCGTAATGGTGCAGGCCTCATCATCACAGTGACCTCATAAAGCCCAGTCATGCCATAATGGTGCAGGCCTCATCATCACAGTGAGTTCATAAAGCCTAGACACCTCATAATGGTGCAGGCCTCATCATCACAGTGACCTCATAAATCCCAGATATGTCATAATGGTGCAGGCCTCATCATCACACTGATGTCATAAAGCCCAGACATGTCATAATGGTGCAGGTGTCATTCTCACAGTGACGTCATAAAGCCAGGACACGACATAATGGTGCAGGTCTCATCTTCACATTGACATCATAAAGCCCAGATATGTAATAATGGTGCAGGCCTCATCATCACACTGACCTCCAAAAGACCAGACACCTAATAATGGTGCAGGCCTCATCATCACAGTGACGTGATAAAGCCCAGACACGTCATTATGGTGTAGGCTTCATCATGGCAATGACCTCATAAAGCCCAGACATGTCATAATGGTGCAGGCCCCATCATGGCACTGACCTCAAAAAACGAGACACCTCATAATGGTGCAGGCCTCCTCATGGCACTGACCTCATAAAGCCCACACATGTCATAATGGTGCAGGTTTCATCATGAAACTGACCTCATAAAACCCAGACATGTCATAATGGTGCAGGCCCCATCATGGCACTGACCTCATAAAACCCAGACATGTTTTAATGGTGCAGGCATCATCATCACAGTGACCTCATAAAACCGAGACACCTCATAATGTTGCAGGCCTCATCATCACAGTGACCTCATGAAGCCCAGACATGTCATAATGGTGCAGGCCTCCTCATGGCACTGACCTCATTATGCCCAGACATGTCATAATGGTGCAGGCCTCATCATCACATTGACACCATAAAACCCAGACATGTCATAATGGTGCAGGCCTCATCACCACACTGATCTGATAAAGCCCAGACATGTCATAATGGTGCAGGCCTCATCATCACAGTGACCTGATAAAGCCCAGACACCTCATAATGGTGCAGACCTCATCACCACACTGACGTCATAAAGCCCAGACACGTCATAATGGTGCAGGCCTCATCCTCACAGTGACCTCATAAAGCCCAGACATGTCATAATGGTGCAGGCCTCATCATCACAGTGACCTCATCAAGCCCAGACACCTCATAATGGTGCAGGCCTCATTACCACACTGACGTCATAAAGCCCAGACATCTGATAACGGTGGAGCCCTCATCATCACAGTGACCTCATAAATCCCAGACATGTTATAATGGTGCAGGCCTCATCATGGCACTGGTCTCATAAAACTAGTTTTGCATTTCTAAGAAAATCCCCTGAAAGCTCCAAAGACGATCGTGTCTATGAATCCGTGTCTGCCAGGGCGAAAGAATACAGCGCCGTGTCCCCAAGACAGGGTCCAGAGAGTTAGGGGAAGGTCCAACGTCCATCTCCCGACAACGACAGCCGCCCCGCTGGCGCACGCAGCTCTCTGCACCCTTTAGCAACGCGCGCGAGAAATTCGGGTCTGTGACCCGGGAGCTGCCCGTAGAAAGGAATAAAATCGCCGATCCGGAGGTTGGCGTGTGAACACTTTCTGATGATCTCACTGCCTTCCGTTGTCTCCACCAATGTGTCCTAGTGCCCCTGGGCTCTGCCTGCAGACACTGACGGGGAGATAAAGACAAAAAGCCGTCAGAATGGCTTTTTGCACTGGATGTTGTTTCCCAAAAGACAGGGCACAGAAAGAGTCAGGACCGTACGGAGAAGAATTTGATGAGACTGTCAAGGTGTGCAGTTGTGGAAGTGCCCATTAGAATTTGCTGGAGAGTTGAGTGCAGGAAAGAGAGGTGGATTTTTGGAGTCACTGAAGAATGGGAAGCTGCGCGACTGAGCTAAGCAAGAGAGAAAGGAAAGTAGAAAAGGGGAAGGACGGACTGCAGGAGGTCTCTGAAGGACAGAGAGTAAAGCAAGGAAATGGGAACGGCTCGACAAAGAAAAGACCGGTGAGTGTTCCGAGGGAATACTTTATGGAGCAGAGGGAGGGACGGACGGAAGGCTAGTTGGGAGACTGAGCTCTGTGAAGAACCTGCCAGGCAGGACGGCAGCCTCGAGGGACCTGCACCACAACTCCAGCCGCGGCCCGCCTGTCCCCAGGCACCAGCCTTGTGTACCGAGCAGAACCGCGGCCAGCGCCGCCAGTCCCTCTCTCCGCCGGCGCCGAATGCGCCGATCCGCCGCCCGGCTTCTCGCTGCCTCCGATAGCCCCGTCTCTGCTCCGGCCGGGCCACCTCCTCTCCGCCTCCTCTCCGCCTCCTCTCTCTCCTCTGTCTTCGTCTCCGTCCACTGTTCTCGTCTCCATCCACCTTCCTCCTCATCCAACTCAGCCCGGGTACTGTACCGGGGCGCCGACGCCTCTCGGGCTCTCGTCAGGTGCGGGCTGGATGCGGAGGGCCGGCGAGAGCGGCGGCAGCAGGGCGGCGGTCGGAGCTCTGCACCGTGGAGGCGGCGGGGCCGGGCTAGGTGGGAGGGGTGAGGATTGGTCTCGAGGAGTTCAAGATTGACAGACCATGAGCTTTTTTCGTGGCCATCATCTCTTCTCTCTCATCTCTCTTTTGCTGGCCCGGGGAAACTCCTGAATTGTCCTCCACGGCACGTGCTTTTGAGAATGCTCGCGGGGCAAGAGAGGCAGAACATCCCTCCCGGCTCAGCTCCCCGGGTCAGCCTCTCCTGGCCTGTCTCGGGGAGCATCCCTGCTGGCAGCAGGAGCACTTCTGCTAGTGACAAAGGTAACCTGGGCTTTTGTCAGGGGCTGTGGTACCAGTGCTACGGCGAGGCAGTGCATAGGAGAAGCACCTTCCCCAGAGAAAACTCGGATGTGGCATGGCATCTCCCACCTGCTTTGAACTTCCTGGAGATGCAACCTCCGTGAGGAGATCTCTTCTCTTTCCCTCCTCCTGCTCCTCTTACTCAGAGGACCAGGGAACAGCCTGTCACATCTGAACTGCATGTGGTGGAAGCAGCACATCTGCAGCAGGTTGAGGGGCGCTCAGAGGCGGGACTTCATGGTATTAAACAAACCCTAAAAGATATCTTTGGAATTTCATGGAATCAAAGAGGGAAAAAAAAGAATTCAATCCAATGACCAGAAACCATTGGATCGAACATTTCTTTAATATGTCAGCTGGGAATACATGGGGTACTCTGCCCTGCATGGATCAAACATCTAGTATAAATTTTGGAATATAAATACAGTGATGCTTGAGAGACCCCTTCCCCCTTCACCAGCAGTGGAGAATTAGGTTATGATTTTGATGTCATATAGCATCTTGGGTTTTATTCGTGGAGCAAGACTGCCATCTAGCGTCCATTTCTTCGGGGGGGGGGCAGTCATGTTCGGAGAGTGGTCTTCTCGCTAATCAGGCCTCCTAGCGTCCCTGCTTGATCTATCCGATCTCTAACTCCTAAATTAAATGTTCTAGGACCAACTAAGACATGTGTCTTAGAACTTCCCATTTGCCTAAACAATATTTAATTGACTTTCTTCTTAACAGAACAATCTCTTATTAAAGAACATTTCAGAGGTACGTAAGCTAATTTCTTGAAGATGGGCATACGATACACTCTCTATTCGTTTCCATGTGTTATCTACATTCTCTCTCCTAAAAATAACTGAAGTCTTAAAAGAATTAGGATATCATTTTTATCTAAGATAAAGCTTCTGATGTACATTTTAGTGCCATTGTGAAAATATGGGGCTTCACGTAACACCTGGAACACTGAACACTGCAGATTCCCCTGGAATCAAAGGGCCATTGTGACACTCTAGGGCCTCATGGAAGAGGGAGGCAGTGCAGAGAGACCTCAAATTAGAGGTTTGGGCAATCATCCACCAGAGGAAGTTCAACAAGGGGAAGTGCCAGATTCTGTCCCTGGGATGGGGCAACCTCGGTTGTACGGACAGACTGGGAATGACATGCTGCATAGCAGTGCTGGAAAATGGCCTCTGGGATCGTGGTGGATGGCCAGCTGGCCAAGAGTCAGTGGTGCCCTGGCGGGGGCTCACTGCTCGCTTACACAAGGGTTTTCAGACACACGAGTCCTTCCCTTGCACACACCCAGACAGACAGTTCATGGCAGCAGGGACAGTATCTCCTGGGGCTCCTGCTGCCACACCCGGAGCCTGGATACATCTCAGCCCTTGTGAGGTACCACTTGCTCTGCCACTATCTGAGAAGCCCCATGGCCGGAGGGATGGGCACGGGGAGTTCTGTCCACAGAAGCACACCCCAGAGCTGCATCCAGGGGCTTTGCCAGGGTTTAGTACCGTAAATTCAAAGTGACACCAGACACTCTTTGTCCCACAGAACTTCAAGGCTCCCCCATGAGGCTGATGGCAATTGTACTTGCTCAGGGTCATCTCCCCACACCACCACCAGGTGTGTGCTCAAGACTTGTCTCTTCAATGCAAAGAGAGTCACCCTCTCTAGTCCTTCCGTGTCTCTCCAGGGAAGGTTAAAGAACTTCTGTGGGCTGGATGAGAAGCCAGTGCACATGGGAATGGACAACGCCCTTCCCTGGTGGTCCTTCATGTCCTTCTACTGAGTTGAGAGCAATGGGAAAGGGAATGAACCTTTTGACTGTGCCTCAGAGTGCCCGTCAACCTCCTGCAGATGTGCTGGTTCAAACACATCCAGTTCAGATGTGACAGGCTGTTCCCTGCTCCTCTGAGTAAGACGAGCAGGATGAGGGACACAGATCTCCTCACAGAGGCTGCATCGCCAGAAAGTCCAAAGAAGGTGGGAGATGCCATACCACGTCCGAGCTTTCTCTGGGGATGCTGCTTCTCCCATGCACTGCCTCTCCGTAGCACTCGTGCCACATCCCCTGACAAAAGCCCAGGTGGTCTTTGTCACCAGCAGAAGTGCTCCTGTTACCTGTAGGGATGATCCCCGGGACAGACCAGGAGATGCTGACCCGGGGAGCTGAGCCAGGAGGGATGTTCTGCCTCTCGTGCCCCTCGAGCATTCTCAAAAGCACGTGCCGTGGAGGACAATTCAGGAGGCTCCCCGGGGCCAGCAAAAGAGAGATGAGAGGGAAGAGATGACGGC